TTGGATTACGTTCAGATAATCGTACGGAAAGGTGCCTTAGAACATGGTGGATCGATAATAATTTGACAGCGGTTGGTTTCGGATTCTTCATTTTCAAGACACTTGGCATACCTAGGAAGAAGGGTGGTTCCGTACAGAAGTGAAGTTGATAGGCTTATTTTAAAATATATAGCTAAATAATAAAAACCAAACAAAGGAGCCAAACTATAAAGTTTTTCAGTTTAACAAAATATCATGACGGTGGCGACGCTATCACCAGATTTTAAAAGTTACTTTATTTACATTAAATTTACATAACAATTTAAAGCCAATAACGGTTATCTAGGCAAAGTGTATAAAACAATAATTAAGATATCATTGTTTGTTTTTTTTTTCATTTTATTATCCTGAAAACTTAATTTTTGCTATTTCGTATCGTTATATTATTTTGTATGTGATTAAGCTAGTAATATTGTCTTGAATTAAGTGCAGTTTACCATTTTTCTTTATGCATAACATTATTTCAATGATAGTTTTGTGTAGGGCTGATTTTAGGATGTCAGTAAAATTTTAGTAGAATTAATTATATTTGTCTTGAGTCTATTATCGAGGGAAATTTCTTCGAGAGTCCTAGTTTAAAGTTTTAAGGTGCATTGTAACAACTAGTTAGACATTCTTATTCCAGCAAAGTAGGATACAAACTGCTATTAATGGTTCCGACCTCTATTCATACAATTCAAAATTTCTCATGTTTACTAAATCATCATTTATATTATCGTTTTATTAAATAACCTTTAGTAGATAAAGCCGGTGACTGGGTGCGTGAACCGTGAAGTCATTGTGATATGACCATGGCACAGTTAGCACGATTGTTGACTCATCAGTTGAATAAGGAAATACAAGAAGCAGAAACCTTTGTTTAAAGTTAAAGTCTAGCTGTCCTTCAGTTAAGTCTACAGGATTGTGAGGGGGAGATCCATAATTTGAAAGACTTTTTGTCCTTGATCCTATATGCATAAGTTAGAGCATAGTAAACTTCTAATTCAAGAAATAGTATAGTTTTTTAAAAGATAAATTAATACCTAGAAAATAAAAAGTGATTTAGTATAAATTTTATGGAAGTAAATACTTCATCATAGAAATCTCTTACTAGTATAGATAGTTTATTTGAAGGAGAAAAATTATTTACGCTTTTTTATGTTTAAAGGATTTTTTAAAATAAGTTACACACCATAAATACTTCTATATATTATAATGAATATGATGGATGATCATATTTTTTTTCATTAAATGTTATTTGATTGAAGGAGATTTTATTTTAGATCTAAGCCTGTTTGGCCGTTTCATCCAAAAGTCACTTTTTTACGATAAAAATCGCATACCACATGAGTTATTAGACTGCGGTTTCTGTACGATACAGGTCCTCATTTTCAGTAAGTAATTCCGCAGAACTGATTTCACTGTCGATTGTCCATTAACAATTTAAAATTATTATCGTTAGTCTGCGGTTATGCACATGACAACACAATTGTCAAGTGGTATCAATTGAGCTCTTGGGCATGCCACGAACAAAAGGAGTTGAAAGGAGAGACTTAAGTAGGGCGTTTTAATTTCAATCCTCAGACTCTCCTAGTACATGACTTAGAAAATTATTTATCACAAAAAAAGTGTTTTTTTACCACTACTAGGATTCCGTTGCCACCAATTCATCAACTGCCTTTGATTTATTAGATGTATAAGTGTCCCCAAACCTTACCTTTAGTATTCGTTAAGAGGGGCAAAAATATGTTAATAATTTAGTTTTTTATCTTCATAAAGCACAGGTCCCGACGTGTGTGGACTATTGTGGTAAAGTTTAAACAGGTTATGGCAATCACTTTATGGTTTTGGAGTGAATGGATCGAAAACACTTAGCAGAACTTACAAAGATTTTGCTGAAACTAATATAGCCAGCCTTGTGCACAAGCGTAAAGTAATGAGCATTTTTTTTGTTTTCTACTTAATTTTTAGAGACTTTAGACCTAGACTTCATATTCACATCACATTCTTATTCAGGTGTAATCCAGTCAAGTACTATCTATTTGCTATTAAAAATAGTGATATTCAAGATGTCTATTACTATAATTTTATAAATCAACCATATTAAAATTTTCATAATATATATAATAATGCTTAAAATAAATATAGTGAGAACTTTTTTTAATAAAACAAAGTTAAAATTCTAATATTAACTTACACTACAATATTATTCATGTAAAAGCTGTCTACAGACAAAAATTTCATTGTCGTAAAAAATTTCATCATGGAACAATGTGTATCTTATAAAAATATTCTAATAAATATTTTTACTTTTTCTATTCTAAACATTCTAACACTATTTTGATATTGTATAAATAATATAGGGCTATGCTCGGAGTTTCACTGCGTGATCAAATCAGGAATGAGGAGATCCGCAGAAGAACGGGAGTCACCGACATAGCCCGAAGAATTGCAGTACTTAAGTGGCAGTGGGCAGGGCACATCGCTCGCAGAACCGATGCCCGATGGGGCCAACGGGTTCTCGAGTGGCAACCACGAGCCGGAAGACGCAGCGTGGGTAGGCCCCCAACAAGGTGGTCCGACGACCTGGTGAAGGTCGCGGGAATCCGCTGGATGCGGGTGGCACAAGACCGGTCGTCGTGGAGATCCTTGGGGGAGGCCTATGTCCTGCAGTGGACGTCTTTTGGCTGATGATGATGATAAATAACAATATATTGTATAAATAACAAATAACTTTGGGATCATAAAGAATTGCTTAGAAAGAATACAATAAAAGGGAAAGTACAGAATAGTCTAAATTAACGAAGTAATTAAAAGTTTTGTTCTATTTTTTGTATATTTATTGTTAAAGCAAATAGTACAGTCACTGGAAAAAATGAAAAAATATTTGTTATTTTTTTTCGAAAGAAATATAAATATTTCTGTTTAATTATTTTGTACTATCGTTTATTCTGAATTATTAACGCTTTTCACAACCAGCAACATAATTAAACCAGCAACAACAGTTCTCCACACGAAAAAATAAAACATTATCGACAAAATATTATACAGCATTCTTAATTACTATCAAATATACATTTTTAATGATTTTTCATATTTAATAACAAGTAATTTTAAGACACTTCTTAAAAATAACTGTCTTTAATAAAAAGACTGAATTGTAATAAAAATAAAGACAAAGTAATGAATCATTATTAAAATAAAATGTACTTTTGAAAAGAAAAAGAAATTTTTTATTTTAAATTCTTGAAGTAAGATATATATAAAATAATATATAAAATTTTCAAAAGCCAGAAGTAAAAAAACATTTATTATATTGTTTTAATAAATTTTCATATTTAATAATTGCTTTTTATAACAATAGGGACAAATATGAAAAAGAGAACTATGAACTCAAACAGTTTATTATACATATTATTAGATAATTGGGAATAAATCAAAAAAGTTTCTGGGCTTATTAGTAATTTCTCGCCAAATGTTTATTCGCTATAAGGTTCTGGTTGTATGGTAATAATATGAGAGCTATCATCCTTTCTATTAAGTATCGTAAAATATTAGATACAATACAAATGATTATTTTGCGAGAGGTGCTCTGACCGACGTGGTTATATGTTCCTGAAATAATATTTGGTACAATAAAATACTAAAGACATTTTCATTATACTTCGGAGTTTATAATATTTCTTGAATATGTCGTTATTATACATAAATATACCAATATTGTTACTTCTAATGTAATTAATAAATATATTGGCTTTATATATAAAAGGCGTTCTATAATAAGGATAGTTTGTTTGAAAGCGCCTGTCTATTTACATAAAATAAATAAATATCAATGCTAAGATCTATTTAAAGCTTTTTATATATAAAAATTATACCTATTAACTCCTATTTAATATAATATTAATTTAATTTAATTTTAACTAAACAAAAATGTAAGTGAAGCAAACCTATAAACAAATTTGTACTATGCTTTAAATATTGTAAGAAAACATTTCTACTTATTATACATATTATACATAATTTAAATTGTCAACAATTTTATGATAATGTACATTTTACAAAAAAATATGTATTTTGGAACAAAATATGTTTTTTATTGTGTACAATCCAGTCAAAATAGATGAAAATTTTAATTTGAGAATAAATATTACTATTTTGCAAAAATTTCGCTAGACACATTGGGATCACCAGTAGAAATAAAATATCAAAAGTATCCATTGATACTCTGTATGCTAAATCATATTCCAGACAAATGTTACACTTTTCAAAAATAGTTACAAATGTTAAGTTTTATCAAAAATACAGGTCGAATAAAATCGAGGATAACAGAAAAACCACATCATAACGTTATTATTCCTAAAAGTCACCATTTTTGATATATAAATTTTTTCTGGATTAAATCTGTTATCCTTTCCATGATATGGGCACAAATTAAGGTATGTACATGGTCATATACGTAGTAGTGTTTTATTATGTAATTCTGAGAATAAAGATAGGTATATCTATAATAAAAAAAATCCTACACAGTTCATTTAACTGGTATGATTTTTATCACTCAACTTACATTATAGTCTATCTCATGTATCGATTTTTTATTTATCAAGCTCGTATTGAGTGCACCAAGTCAAGATCTGGTTATGCAGTACAAAGTATCCACAATCATAAGGTTTAGAACAAGAAGAAAACAATTTAGTAACAATTAAAAGAAGTTCAAACTCTTAACACATTTTTTGCTCGTACTTTTAAATATTTTATCCTTAATATTCTGTTGATACTTTATTCCTACTGGAGTAAGGTAAAAGTTGTATTCAACAGAAGTTTTTTTTACTTGAAATATCTTTTTTAACTGGGCTGATATTTAAGCAGTGAATAGTATAAACAAGAATTTAGAAACAATACACGTTGATGTTTCAACATTGAAGCTTAAATAATAAGAACTTTTTGGGTCTACCTCACTAAATTGAATTTTCCTAACTTTCCTACATTTTATATACAATACATTCATATCTTATTCTAGTTATTTAGAAACTATATATTCTGTTCACATTTGTTAACTTATGCGTTTCGTTTATAGATTTTTCGTTTTCCATTTTCATTTTATTTTATTTCTTGAAGCGAGCGAGTATTTTAAGATACACTAAAATAAGCAGTATCCTACAAAGATGCCTTAGTTTTCAATAACAGGACTGGCCAGTACATTGTAACAAATAATAAGAATAATGCCGGGAATACAACCCGCGAAAGCTTGTCAATTTCTCGCCATAAAACTCTTTCTTGTCCGGTGTCCGCGTCTAGCCACGCCACCTAGTGATTAACATAATTAATACATAAAACATATTTAATTGTATTGGATGTTTTATTAGTTTGTCCATTATTAAGAAAAGCTTATATGTGATAAGAATAGTGATCATGACACTTAAAATTTAGGGAATTAATGATCAAAAAGCTTACTGGGGGTAGAAAGTTGATAGCTTTTTTATAGTGCACAAAATTTATTGAAAGAAATACTTAAATAATTAAAATGTTTATAAATTAATTCTTATAAATTTTCACTGAACATTGAGATCAATATTTCTGTAAATAGGTATGATTATACCAAAACAAAAGAGTGGTGTGGAAGTATGCTGCCTATTTAATATAAGAGTTTTAAAGTAAAATGAAATAAATCTCTAAATTCTCAATTTTCCTTGAAGATACAAAAGATGCACTAGATTTGGTACAAAAAGGTCATCAATATATTGTAGAAGTACGAGTTTGTGAGTCAGTTTGTACGTATTCTCCTACTTTAACCAATAAAAATATATTATAATGGTGTATTCATAAATTATAATCATACACCATAAAGAGAATAAAATGTTACGACTAACAATATGACCGCTTTTTGTCCTTTAAAGTGTAAATAAATGAAATTTTGTTTACTTTAAATTAGATATTAAAATAAAATTTTCTAATATAATCCCTTTAAATAATTAATGTTGCTTATAAAAGTAAGCCTCTTGAAATACAAATTTTTAAATTAACGATATTTGAGTAAGATATTGTAAATAATTTATAATTTAGTCCTAGGACAAAATATAATTAAAATTTCTAAGAAATATTGTAAACAACAATTCTCTTTAAGATGAGGCTGGTGCTATTTTGTAAGGTTTCAAAGGACAAAACGTTATTTGTAGTCTGATCGAGAAAAGTAAAGTGAAAACAAATTTTTGATTACAACTACTATAACTAATATAAATATAGATTCCGTTTCATTGTTACTTATGTAGTATTTCAATTATCTGACCCATATTAAAATATGGGTGTAATGTTATAAGAAAAAGTCATGGTGGCTTAGAGGTTCAGGACTCGCCTCTCGTGCATGAGGGCGCAGGTTCGAAACCTACCAATGTGATTTTTGTTACATAGGTATTTTGTCAGAGTATTTAAAACCTGGACTTATTCCAAATGATAAGTTTGAAATCGCCAACCCGTTTTGAGCAAGCGTGATGATTAATGCTCAAACCTTTTGAGAAGAGGCCTTTGCGCACCAGTAGGCTCTGATAGGCTGATGATGATATATACCTGTAATATACTTTGGCGTCTTTCAACTCCCACCAGATGAGCAGTAGCTCCTGGTACTTGGTGTGTTGCCGGGGTAGTTGCCGGAGGTGACGTAGGAGAGGTCAGGTCCACTTTCCTACATCGAACCCCACTTCCCTCCCAAGCAGCAACAGTACCACAAGATCCCTTTTCGCCATTAAGCCGCTATAAGGATTTTAAATCAGCAAAACAAACTTCGAGCACTTTAATTCATGTTTCTATTTAGGGCGGATTCACTGTTTTTTGTTGTATTATTTACTTTGGAGGGATATTACAACAACTCAAAGTCAGAATGTTATTGCATTGAAAATTATTCAGAATTCTTTGGAAGCCGGGAATAATTTATTTATTTAGGAAGTCGTCATTTAGAATATTGTTTTGAATTGTTAATTTCATTTTTAAATTTAGCCTCCGGAGTTCTGACGTCATATTTTTATACAAAGTAAATTAAATACTGTGATGTCATTTGCAAAAAGATTGTCATTTATACCTATACATTAAATATCAACGTGGGTAAATTTGACTTGATCATTCACTTCTTTAATAATGTATTAGTAATACGTATTTATGAAAAAGCGTTAAAGTTTTTAAAACAATTTATAACGTAGTATTATAATGAATAAATTACCACAGGAATTATTCTGGGCATCGATTCTTGAGCCTTTGTTTTGTTCATTTGATATTGTTTGTCTAACACTTTTACAACCACGAACTCTCCTAAAGCAGCGAAAACGAACATCATACAACCCGCCATCCAAAGATCCAATGCCTGGAAAACACAGTTGATTTTTTCAAAATAAATTTTAAAGTAAACGCGATGGCATCCGCACGGGGAATCCAATGAATACAAAGAGGTTTTGTCTCTTACAATATAAACTTCTTTCATTTAGTTAGGTCATCTTAAAATTTCAAATAATATTTCATTTTTCATTTCCAGTAGTAATGAAAAGAAAATTATAATAACAATTACCTTTACATATGCCACTGGCGGTATATCGGCTCTCAATCCAGTAAACATTGTAACAAGCGTCAACATGCAAGTAACCAACAATGTAACTCGCCCGGGTATCGCATCTAGATCCAGCCAAAAGCTGAACCAGGACAACATCACCACAAGGGAAGAAGGTGCAAAGGTTTGAATCAAATGATGACCAATTTGACGTTCGAATCTGAAGTAAACCACCAGTCTAGAATAGTTACCTGAAAATAATTAGTGTTTGGTATAAAGGCTTAAACTGTTATAATGACTTAATCTTTCATGTTTTGAGCATTGATGGAATGTTATTGTATAATGCGTACCATCTTTATCGATCATGTAACCGTTAGTTTCTTCCAGTCGCAGTGGTTCACCGATATGGTATTGTAATAACTTGAGTTCTGGATTGATCGTCACACCTGCAACACTCCAGCGGAATCTCACTTTCTGATTGCTGTAGGAAACTGGAAATATGACAGATTTTTCATAAATTCATAAGTTCCTGAATTGAAAGTAGCCGTATTTTCAAATAAATATATTGAACAATTTCTGACGGATATTTTTAGTCTACAAATTTAGAATTCTATATTGTAGGTCTTGGATTTTTTTTAATTACTGCCGTAAAAACTCACAACTTTCTATGTAAATTGGACAGGATTGTATGTCCATGGGATAAAGTTGAAATTCCATCTGGCAAGCAATGATAGCGTGCATTCTGGCCGCATACCTCACTGTCTGGTTTCGATATAAGGTCACTGACGAAAATTTATGAGTCAATTCGGCTATCTCTGGAAAATCAATTAAAACTTTTGTGAACAATTTGGCAGGTATGGGTGATGTTGCTTTATTGCATTTGCTTGTGCAAATATAATTGTACGAGAAACGTGTGTTGGTTCCATTTCAAGGTTTATTTTGTATGAATCTCGTTGTTTTTTACATAATTATAATTCTTATTTTAATGCCAAATGTCGGTAAGTATGCTTTATGCTTTAAAGGTAAATAGTAACTATTTTTTATATTTTTGGAGTTAACTTAAATGTGATTTTTGGATGTAAATTCATATTTTGAAATATATTAATTTTTTTTTACAGGAAATTGAGATAAGCAAAAGCAATGAAATTATCAGGCTGAAAAACAACAACTTCGTCTTATTTGCGTGATTTCAAAAATATTTTAATTCGATGTGATTACTTTACTTTCACTGCTAGTGTTAAGTTGTTATGTACCTTTATATACATTTATGTACCTTTTATATGATAAAATAAAATGCGACGTGAAGCTTCGTGAACAACTAGTAGATTAGAAATGATAAATTATTTTTGCATTATCCATTAATTTGCAGTAATAATTCATTTGATATTAAAGTTTAAAATTAAAAGTTTTGCTATGGGAGTGAGTTGAAGCGATCTATCTTAAACTTACGAAACATTATTAAGTGCTTTGTTGTGAGGATTAAATATTTATACTTTAAATATTGTTCATCCAAGCTGAGTGTTTTAAAGTATTGTTATAAAGTGTAAATATATTATGATATCGTTTTGTCAGTATATAAAAAGAAAATAAATTGAAAAGTATAACTTTTAATTGTATTTTATGTATTTAAAATTATATATATGAGTATATGTAAAAAATATTTGTTGTTTCGGTGCTTTATAAAAAATTTAAATTGTGATGACTATGGAGCAATATCCTACCAGCAGTTTCGTGACAAAAATGGCAAGCTCCTCCTAAAATAAAAATGTTTACAATGAAATATTTATCTCAACTTAGTTGAACAACGCTAAATAAACTCTTTAAAATAAATAATTTCTATAAAAACTAACAATAGTATTAAAGTAATAAACTGTAATAACTTCACTAAAAAAAAACAATATGGGGTTAATAGGAATTACAAATTACAAAAATTTTTGTTCACGAACACTAATTATAACTTTAACCTGCTGTGGCTGTACACAATTTTGTTTTCATCTTGATGAAGCTGCTTATTAAAATTTAATAACTTGTTGAGGAATACTTTCCATTGTACAAGTAAGTATACGTGGAAATCTGTGATTAATTTTCTTTTGCCTATGTATTTTCGAAATATTCAATAATAGGATATAATTTTTATTTGACAATATGTACCCGTTACTTTGGAGTTTAGGAAGTAAGGGTCTGGATGCCAAAGATTGTTGAAGAATTCTGGAGGCAGAGTGACATGATCGTCACCTTCCTCAAAAATATCCTCTGGTAACTGTAGTCTGCTTTCGATCCAAGTTTGTCGTATAAACATATCCACTCTGAAATTAAAACAAAGATTAAATTGATATCGTATTTTTAAAAATAAACGTTCACTTTTTTTATTTACTTGTGTGTTTGCCAAATTAAAGTATATATTCTAAAAATATTCTCTGGTAGAAATATGAGGACAGAATATAAAATTATTAGAAATGTAATGCTAACATTAAAATTTATTTACCGCTAGGAATTACAAATCCCCTTTGGTATCTAATGTTCAAATATCAAATGTTCAGAGAAAACAGACAGTAATGCCCCCTTAACCCTTAACAACAAAACTACACACCCACTTACTATATACAGTAGAACTTTGATGTAACTTCGGATTTTATTTTATTAATGGGGTACACATTGTCGGGGTACCTAATCGGATTCTTAGTGACTACAAGATGTCATATTTTTTTTACTATTTACTATGGGATGTAAACACCAATTTGGGGTAAATATATGGATTTTGTAAATGAATAGGTAAAAAGAAATGGATTTTGGTTACCAGTATGACAAAATTTTGAACTCAGGCAATACCATATATTGGAAAAACTATAACAGCTGACAAAAGTTACTTCAAATAGATTATTTATTGAGGAAATAATAACTCAAGCTAGTTTGTGCTAGTTTAGTTAGTTATCTTAATACATCTAACCGAACAAGTTTGAGTCAGAGCTAAAACTTCGTCTTATAAACTGCATAGATTTTGGTCTTTTTCGGTTCTTATTAGGTATCACTATTAATTTTATACCACCTACGACTTCTGACTAAATTTTATCTTTATATATTGTCTTGTTTTAATACATATGTATTTATTATTATATAAAAACCTATCAAAATATCCTTCTATTATCCAATAGTTTTATTAATGGTAATTAGTTATGACAGGAATGGGTATACCTGAAGTCCATGTCCTCAACGTTTATGGAATTAACGTCAACCACGTAGATACTGAATTCAACGACAACAGGATCCCCTTTGCGAGAAGGAGGTCGCATTTCTAAAAGAATAATAAAACTTAATATACTAATGATTGAACATTCGTAAAACGAAATGTGATTAATAACTAACTTGAACATATAAATAAAAGTAATATTATTAGAATAACTATGTACGCGTACTTTATTATTTTAAAACTACCTACTGCTGACGTTTCGATTACTTTTCATGTCTGACATTTACATCTCGTCAGCCGATTACAGTTGCTGAAAAGTAGCCGAAACGTCGAGAGTATGTAGTTTTAAAATAAAAATGGATTAGTAATCCAAACAATATTAGCTTTATTTAAATGGAGACTAGCGAAAGGCTTTGATCTCATTAACTAGAACTAACTGTTTTGAATGATTGAAATATATATTAACGCCTATGTATCTATATATTAAATAATTAAAATGACAGGGATTTATAAGTAATACTTCCTCTTCTTCTATCCAAAAGTTTCAAATATTAATGGAGACAATTACATATATCCTTAAATTTAGCTATGTCTAGAGCTTGGACATAAATTTTATTTTAATAGCAAGTAAAATTTTTGAAATATTATTTAGGAGGGTTTCAACCTAAACTTTTATTGTGCTCTTTGTCACTATAAAACATTATCTACTCATTAAAAACTACACAACACTGAAAGTTGTTGGTTTTCGACATGTCATTGAAATGCAGGAAGGGTTTGAATGTTAGTACAAGTTAGTTAGTTAGTTAGTTTTGCCTACATACAAAGGTGAGGTGTTGTATGAGATACCCATTTAAAGAGCATTCGATCGGGTAAAGCCGGAGATGGGGCAATATATGTATGTGCCTACATATATCCACAGCTGTGGATTTTGGTGAACATTAAGAAAAGTCACCATTTTTGCTGTCTAGATGACTGCAAACATACAAACAAGTATATATACTTTATAAAAAAAAGATTGCAGATGATTTCAAGGGTGATTCCGAGTCCCTTTGTATTTTTGAAACCCACATATACTAGGAAAGGACGTTGTTTGACTTTATATAAATTGACCGTATTGTTGTGCATGTATAGAATAAATTTATAATGAATAAATTGATTAAAAGTAATTATTCTTAAATATCTCGAATAGCTATTAACTACTACCATAACATTGTGTAATAGAACACGTGTGGTAGTTAAATGCTTCGTATACATAAGACATACTTTTCGTAACATATGTTTATTTATATCTTTAATAACTTGTTCAATACTTAAACCATTTTATGACTAAGATTTGCAATTTGTCAGTTCATGTATTAAAAACGAGTATATGTGTAGTTGATATCGATTTTAGAATATGTAATAGCAGTCCATATTTAAGTCCTAGTATTGTCCCAGTTTTGAAATCTTCTATTAGAGATTCTTTAAATATTATATGTATGCAGATAAGAGTTCAAATAGTCGAACAGAGATTTAACAGAGCCTTTTCTAGTTATGATCTCAGTGTATACGTGAGTATAACTAAGTCTACAAAATGTGAATATTTTCGAAATAACGATGAGTTTATTTTGCAAAATGTTAAGATTATATGTCAATTTGTTTTAATAGCTGTTTCAAAACTTTTGGTGTAGTTCTATGTTATGAACGTAATGAAACCACCCAATTAACTAACTAATACGTATAATAGTTACCGAGAAAATATGTAAGACAAATACCTTTAACATAATTCTCTGGCAACACGACCCTTGGTTTCAACGTGTGATTCCTTTTAGACGTGACGTCATTACATAACCTGGAAATAAACGAATATTTTTATTATACTAAGAAGATTTTTTTTTCTATGAAAAAAATATGGAAAGGATATGCAGTAGAATTATCACGTGCTTAAAGAAAATTATTAAACTCTTAATTGACTAGCTATATAAAACATAGAAAAGGTTTCAACTGAAATTAAATTAAATAATTCAGAACGAAAAGTTAAGCGTCGGTTCGCGATATCCCTAGAGTGGTAAGTTCCAATACTCAGTGTTAATGAATTTTCATATAATGTAATTTATTGGTTTAAGTACAGTTCAGGTCAAAATATTCTATTCAAATCAAAACTAGATCTATAAAAAATCACTTAGCGAGGCTATAGGAGACTTTACTTCAACAAAGTTGCTATTCTTAAAACCTTCTAAACAGTACACTTTTTTGTTAATTAAGAGTTCCTTAGCTCATATGTAGACTTGATTATTATATGATATGAGGCAAAAATATGATCTTTTTGAAATGAACACTACAATACTTCCTAAGAATAGATATTTTCACAAATAACCATTCTCTATGATTTAGCTTTCTATAGATTAAAATAAATACTATTTTCTTAAATTTTATCAAGTTATTTCTATCTATTTTCATAGTAATACTGTCCATTGCCGATAAAAAAACATGAAATTTAAGAAAAATATTTGTTCTATCAAATTGGCAGTCGGCGCGAGGGCCGAAAATTTGAAAACTCGCCAACTTGTAACAAATAGATGAACCAACATTTGAGTAATTAAGGATTATTTCGGTTTTTTTTTTACAAAATAACTAATTTTCCGGTTTATATATTTAAAGAGTTGGAATTTGGATTTTTTTTTCCAAACCATACAATCACTTTAATATCGGAATTTCATCACATCATTATATATATAAGATACGTATATTGCTTTCTAGAAAAGAATATGATATCATTTATGTAAGTACCTAGTTATTATAAACCATATTTGAACATTTCTGTCAAATAAGTTTCGAATTAACAGCAAACGAGATATCAAATTGCAAAATATTTTTTTATTCTTAATTATTTTAATGTGTACAATAAAAACTTTTTACGTAGGTTTTCTTAGGTTTTTCTATGCCATAACATTTTGCTTAGACCGTCTCCTCGGATCAATCTATTTAAAAATCATCATGAGTGTACTCATATTAAACTTTATATAATCGTAAATAATTAGTTTAATTTATAATATAACGAACGTGAGTACAATGTATACACCCTACAAACAGCATAACTTTTAGCGTGTAATTTGCCCGTTACAGAGACAACGCTATGAAGTTACAATTTTGTCTAAAAAATATCATAAACTTAAACCAGTTGGGATTCATAAGTCGTAAAAATAATATTTATTCTATATATGTACCTTCCTAAAATAAATATATAATTATAATAAAACATTTTAAAGTGTTTTTTTTTGTATTCACATGCTTTTAAAAGCACTTTTAATTTTCCTTTCGAGGAATGCTTTCTGTAAATAGACGTCAAAGAAAGGAAATTAGAAACTTTATTAAAATCAGATACATTAATTATGATAAAAGAATTCTAAATTAAATTTGATATCAAACTATTGGTTTTATCATGAAATAAAATATAAATTATATCGAATAAAACTGATCACGGCATGGAACGGAACGGAGTAACATAACTTTCTGAACAAAGCGAATCTTTTGTTCAAACAAAGTGTTGTCCTAATTCCTTAAGAACTAGTTCATTATTTATTTAACATTGCATATCACAAATGACGTAGAAACTTTCCAGGCCAAGGTAGCGTCATCGATTTGCTATATAACATGCACGCAATAGCTAAATTTAGAATATGTTTTTTACTTTTGTTCCCATTGAATGGCTTATTTGGTCGCTTGCATCGCTTTGTAATGTTATTTCAAAAAATTCACTTTATCTAATTATTTTTCTTTATATGTATAAACTAAAAAATACTAACAAATTGAAACAGTACGAATCTATGTAGTTCGAATATTCCTAGGATAGATGGAATCAACTTTTTCATTATGTTTCAAATAGTACTTTCATTTACTCAGGCGAGAACGGATAATATTATGTGAAAAATTTTGATACTTAAAAAATATCAGTGCTAAAGATCATTTTAATTTACTTGTAATACAATCTGAGATTTTTTACTTAAACTACTTTGCTACAAACAGTTGGCAAACTGTAATTACCATACTTATGTTTGTGTAGTTAAATTCATGATTCTTGATTAGTATAATCAAATTTTCACTCTTTATAAAATTTTTCTTTGACGTTTGAAAATAATTTAGTAAATAAATAGAGACAAAACCTCTTAGCATTCAATGGATTCACCGTGCGGTTGCCGGGTCCATCGCGTTGCAGGGAGAGGAGCTTCAACAGTGCTTGGGACTTGCGACCCAGGTGTTGGTTTAAGGGGCCCCTTATATAACGCGCGTTATACGCTCACCTCCACTGTCTAAGCTCCTCTCTCTACCTAACCAAATTTGAAAAGAACCTACTAGGGCTGCTTTCGACGTACGTTCCAAGAATGAATTAATGTTAGTTCTGGACAAGCCCAAGTCTTTTAGTAGGTTATAGAGAGATTTAGCTGTTATACCTCTCGCTCCCACCTCTCCCGCGTACAAATCAACGATGAACCTATTTCGAGTTAGTTAGTTAGTCTTGCTGAATTTACTGAAAAAATAACGAACAAGCCCTTCTATTATTATTACTTAATAATAAGCAAATTAAATAAAGAAGCAAATTAAAGCATTATATTTATATACCATACTAATTTTCAAAAGAATAAGAAGTCAAGTCTCGTGATATTCAAAATGTGCTCTTTTATTCTTTAGCCATCTAAAGCTTGTCAAAGTTGCACGAGTAAAACTTATGTGGGTTCTAATTCCTCGCTGAAAGACGCATTTAAAATGAGCCACTCGCGATTAAAATACATGAAATAGATGCGAGATCTAGCAGATAGCTGGGAAATTTTAATGAAATAATGTTTCAATCAAGTTTTATAATAAAACTGATGAAAAGTTACAGTTACTTAAAACTGTTTTACGCTTAAGGGAACATCTGCAATATCCTAGTCTTAAACTATTGCTTCACCTATACTAAGAAATTAATTGAAGATTCTGCCCATTGCTAAACACTTTTTTCTTTTGACTACAACGACGTTGAAGTACCTTGGAAAAAATAAATTATTATAAGGATATATTACATTAAAATATTGTCGATGTCAATGACAACTTTTAAATAAAAAATATTACTGCAAAATTTTATTTCACTCACTATTTTGCGATATGATACAGAAAATCATGGTTACAATAAAATATTTTTATCAACTTTTTGCCTTTAAGAAATAGAAGTTATTTAAGATCCCAAGAAATTTTGACGAGTTTTCAAGTTGAGAGTGAAGAGGAAAAACGGTTTATTTAAAAAGTTTCAAAGGAGTTTTTAAGAACTTTTGTTTTTTTTTTCAGAAATCACTAAGAAAAGTTAAATACCCCGAATCTAATATTATTCAACATCAGTTAGTATGAATATGTTAAAGAATTTGCTCAGGTTTTACTCACTGTCCCACGTTATATTTTCAAAAACTTCGAAGTAACTGATCTGATTTATGAAATATACAATTTCTTTACAAAAAAAAAAAAAAAATACGTATGAAGTTAAAACAAACCAATTAAACTATTTGTTGTAATGAATAAATCATATAATACTCATATTTTAGTCAATGTAATAAATCCACTGAATTATGGTTGATGTTAATTTTTTATAAATCACTGAATGGAAGAAAGCCTTCATTTTATTCATAGACAAGAGTGGAATTAGAAATTGATTTAATATTATAGACTTATCTCAATTTAATAGTATTGAATAGCAAATATAAAAAAATGATAAATCGTTACATCGTTTTTTTAATTTACAAAAATATCTCCGGATCATCACCTGTTCCCAACAACTGTTAAATCTATCACAAAAATTCAGTCCATTTTAGACTAGTTTGTTAAATTGAGATAAAAAATTGTAATATAACCATTTATCTTTCGACCTAAATAACACGACGTAATTGTTGTGTTCTATGCATAGATGATGGTGAATTTAAGAGTTGGTCTTTGATTTTTGTTCGTGCTCCCATAGAGAATTCGTGTTCTTAGTCATAGAAATCACAGTTTTTTTTATTAGTGACATGAATGATTTAAATACTCACAATTCCTCTAATTCATGATTTCATGATTCATTCAATATTAAAATTTTGATTACAGAGATCTGTAACATAGTTTATTATATGTATAATACTCTAGAGAAGTAAAATTATACTTTAGTTACATATTTCAAAACTTTAGTACGTAGTTGAAATATTAAATAAAATTTGATATAAAAAATATTTTTTTTGTCTATGTTCTTTGTCTCTTCTTTTTTATTTATCAAGGCACAAAACACTTTATCTCGAAATTTTTTACATAATAAAATTTATACCTACAGTTGCGTGCGTCTGTGTCTGTGCAGTTCATTAATTTAAGTCATATCTATGAATATTTCAGGCAACAAAGGCTTCCTCTTGGTATATCCATAATCACAGTAGAACAATAACTTTTTGATTGGCGTTTCATGACGAAGTACGCTATTTAAATTGAAACTAGTTATTAGTAAAAACATAGATAAAGGCCTTTTATCTGTGGGCTGTAAGAAACAGTCTTCTTGCAATTACCCCTAATAAATTCATAAACGACAGTCAAAGTTTTGCTCTCAAATCTGTTCAATTTAAAAGCCCCCAAATAGTTTACAATTGTTACAGCGGCAATGAAATGGATGTCAGCTGTTATTTAAATTAAATATTTGAGGTTTATTTAAACATTTAATGTATTACAATTGAAAACGAAATTGTTACTACTTATTTTATAATAGTAAACTGTAATATTTAAAATAATGTCTTACTAAACTAAACTTCTTACTAAGTGCCAGATAACCTAAATTAAGAATATTTATTTTTTTGCATTATGTGTATATATACCTTAGAATGCATATTCTAATAGATTTATATCTTTTCTTTTGGATACGATACTATCAGGTTATTTTTTTGAAGTCAAACAAAAACTAAGAAAAACATTTTGTATCTGTTGATTAAATAACAAGTTTTTAAAGTTTCGCAACAAATTTCCAGTGGGTTTATATTCACATATTTTACCTTTATTTAGTTGAGTATATTCAATAAGAGTACTTTCTTTTAATTTCATTTCTATCTTTTAAAATTTATTATTTAGCATTCAGATTGTTAGTTTTTAAATTAATATGTTTTATGGAGACTAATTTTATGTCATAAGCTTTAACTGTTATACATATTTATTTGGGTATTTTATCGCGTCATCAAAGATAAAGATGTTAATTCTCAATCAATTGTAATTTTTATGTCGTATTTTGATAAAAGAAAAGAAGAGAAGATGAGGAGTTCATTAAATAATTTGAGTAGTAGAAAACCTAATGGAAGTTTTGTTCAGAAAAAATTGTTTCAATACTGGCACTACAAGTTGATTTTGATGCAGTCATTTGATGAAAATAGAAAAAAATGAAGGATAATACATATAAAAAAAATACTTGTATACGTAGTCACTGTGGGTAAGTTTAAATCGAGTTAAGAAAACAAGAAGATTGCTTAAATCAAATGAATTTTAATCACTGAAAAAGTAAATGTTAAACAATGACAATTAATTCTGTTTAAAACAAACATCTGAAGATTTTTTATGTAAGAACCAAATGCTGCCTAGTATATATATTTATTTTATAATCATAGATACGGCTAAAACAGCAGTAAGAAGGGTAAGTAACATATTTCGTTTTATTTATATTTAGTAAATTCATTAAACTAAGCTTATTTAAATTGCTATTGCGTGACGTTTTAAATAGTAAATTGTCTTTTCTACTTTAGAGTAAATTAACGGAATCCTTGTTATCTATACCGTTACCTCACAGGTGTTAAGTTCTTATCTCTAATCACAGTGATTCATTGGTTTTCGCTCACCTTAACCTTTCCATAACATATTAGTCTTACGCTAGCTTACAATTTGAATATATGTATATATAATAGTTAAATGGTTGAATATTTTTTTATTAAATATTTGTTATTTTAATCGTGACAACTATTCCAAGAAATTTGGAACTGAAAAAACCATAAAGAACATCTAATTTCTTATAACAAAATATGTACTACGCCACTATACACAAATTGCGTAGTTCAAGGCAAAAGACAATTTATCGGACCGTCCATCTTATTTCAGCTATAATGGAAGCGAGTGGGTTAATAAATGATGGCTGATTAGTATCTACCTTAAAGTTGGCCTTCTAGCTACCCTGACATTGAAGATACTGCTGTTAGATTGATTAAAAGTAAAACAATATGTATACGGACTGTTCCTCAGAATAATCTTGATACAGTAAAAAAAGGCGTGAATACAAATTGATAAAACATATGAATTATGTTATTATTATTATTTTATGTTGTACTATGAGCAATATTACTTTAAAATTATTTTCACATCTTAATAATTTTATCTTCTCAAGATTATAATTTTAATTTTGTAATTAAAATTTGTTTTATGTGATATTATTGAAAATGGATCCTTAATTAAGTATTTTATCTTAATTGATTTTGAAAAGATAAATTACTATTATCAAAATTTATGAATGAAATATCATGAACACAATACCTTTAAAGATTTTAGGGTTATAAAAATCTCTTACTGAAATAAAAAGGAGTGAGTAATAAGTAAATTAATGGGAAAAAATAAAGTTTTATAGCATAAGAAGTCAAGAGGCATGACATAGCATTTAAACCCTTTCTTTAACTAGCTCTTTGAAAATATTTTTGTTATGATCTTTTGAGCTCAAACGAAGCGATTTGGAAGAAAGAAAATTCAACTTTATATTTTTGAAAAGTAATGTCCGAGTAATTTAACGTTTAGTTAAGCGAAATGTGTTGTTTTCATATGATACCGGGTTTTCGAAGACAGTGTTGTACCTTATAAAATGTAAGAATTCGTGTACCTGTGACGCAAACAACATAAAATGTTTATATATTCGTGTATAGTAACTTGATTATTGCTCTAAATCTGTAACACGATTCAAAAGGAAAACCGGTTAGTTGTAATCGTTTTGCAAAATCAGCTGTTACAAAGCAAATATCCTTTACTAATTATATATGAATTGTAATCCCTTATCGATAATTAGAAGCTGCCAATTAAACATTAACTTTGTAGTTATATTACAGAAACCTAATTTGGTATGGCACTCATAACAATCAATTAATCAATAACAGTCAAAAGAAACTGTTACAAAGTAATTAAGGATTTTAACATAAAGCAACTTTCGTCTGTTCAGACTATATATGAGAAAATCTCACATTGCTAACAAGTTAAAAACAAGTCTTAAAATTAATGATCAAAATAAAATTTAAAGTGATTCTGTACTCAATTTGATATCAGTCAACTGCTATTTATTCATGAACGCTTCGAAAAATTACTTTTACCCTCACCATTGTTTGTATTTACTATCGAACTGTACATTTTTTATCTTTTTTGATTTTAGTATAAATACTTCTATTTCCAAGTTGAAACAGCTGGTGACGATTAGATAAAAGTGAAAATTAAAAAAATAGCTTCCTCTGAAATTTGTCTTTCCATTGTTTATGGCGTTTACTTGAAGATAAGATAAATATGAAATCTGTACTATCATATATAATGATCAATTTACTAAACAACTAATTGACCTTGTTAATGAAACACAGGAGATTCTTTCGTGTGTATTACTTACCATATTAAGAAGAAAAATGTAGAACGCCAGATACAAGGAACCATTTTCTATGGAGGCAAACTATGGAACGAATTGTAGCGGGTCATTACAATAGCGATGGATTGTCTGAAACAAATTTATTATCGTATGCATTAATTGTATCAGCGATTGTACTTATACATAATTATTATCAAAAATATTGTAAACATTTGTCAGTATATATTAATAGTACATTTTTTTATCACCGAAATATTCCTTAGTTTGTAATCTCTTTAATCAATATATCAGTTGCAGCAACACATTTACTAGGACGTTCACTTTCAGTATCGGCTGTATCAAATCGATTGTCGTTTAAATTATTCAAAAGCCTTCACATTTTTTTTACATCATGTTACAGTATATTTCATGGGTTTCGTTATCATTTACTCCTAATGAGTTGCCTTTATAATGTTTTATTCTAAATTATGTGTATTTTTTTTACTTTATATATAAGATGCAAAAAATATTCTGTAAAATTACGTATATAAAGTCATATCAAGCTACAAAACAAAAATTTTCTTCTATAAACCCCTAACTAGTCATACGATTCATCCCAAGGGCCTTCGTTGAGCCTCCAGATCTGATGTCAAAGTTTGGAATTGCCGTTACTTACAAATATAATATGATAATATAGAACATACCGAATGTGGTTTTCACATATATTTTTTGTTAAAATATTTTTGCTTATACGTGATTGTTAAATAATAAAGTAATTCTAATTAATTCTTCACAATAATTGTATACATGTATGTCAAGTAAATTATTTTCATGTCAATAATTTAGGTTTGCCTTGAGACAGTCAACTTCCCTATCCTTTGAAAACAGATAAACACAAAGTGACAATTGCGACCCACGCGTAAGGAAGTCAGGAAAGACATTTAAACAACAATACATTCCTCGTGCAAGCAATTTACGCTTGTGCTGATTGAAGCCACAAACATTGTATTAGTTTTAGTTACCTGGATCAGCATATTTGTTTATATTTAAATATATAGTTGGCCTAGAAATTTCTATTAAAAACTAGACTAAAAAATATCTTTTTTATGTTCATTTTGATTACCCTCCACTGCGAAAGATGCTTTCGTTAGTTTCATTTGTTTAATTGCGTATCTGTCTTTAAAAATAGTTCTTACTTGGAAAGGCCAATTATTTAGATATAAAAATAATATGTAGTAATAAAAAAAAATAGTTAAAATTTTTAAACAAAAATAAAACATTAAACCAAATTGTATCAAACTTAATGGGCTAGTACATACTGAAACTAACATTTTTACTAACAATGAACACGTATAAGGCGCGTTAATTAATTAATTAATTTATTTATGAAAGTTTAAAACCAACAAAAATAAGATAAACAACGAACCAAAGCTGAACAAACCATCAAATCATGTCTGTAAACTTGCGTCACAACACTAACACTTACTGGCCTAATGTATCAGTTAAGCGGCCAGAACGGTTCCCGCGGTAGTTTTAACTGAAAACTGGTTGGCGAGCTCGGTTTGCGTGTTACTCTGTAGACACCCACCGACCTCCTTGCCAGCAGTCCTAAACCATTTGATAATATTCCATAAGGAATATATTTTTCTTTTTTTTTTTAGTTTAACTACTTTAATTTTACACGCTTTAAGGATCTTTTAATTTATTTATGACATAAATGTAAGGGTGGTGACTCTAACTACTTTTTTAACGGCTTGGAATTTGGCTACTAGTTTTTTGACATAATTATTTACACAAAAGATGAAAATCGTGTATTTCAAAGAGACAACTACGATAGTTTTACTACATATATTTGATTCTTATAGTAAAAAGGTTGACAATCTGTTAATGTAAAGATTAAATAAAATTCAAAATGTTGACGATCCGTGTATAACGTTGGATTACTAATATGACATTCGACTGCGGCACTTGCTAGCGGCATGGTTACGTGACGTGACGGGACGGTGACGACATTGACCGACCTTGGGGTATGGGGCAGGTATGTTTACTATATTAATTAATATTTTCAGGGGCTCGATACAATCAGGCTTTATAGAACTAGGTCACATAGTGACGACTGTGAGTGAGGATACCTAACGTCCGTAATATTTTGAATAATTATAATTTTGTTAAGAATTTTTTATGATTACAGCTTGAACTGTAAAAAAATACACATTATTTTTCTGATTAAAAGTAACATGTCCTCTTGAGAACAGATTTAATAAAAGCACAAGATCACTACATAACAGCACGAATTGGTTGTTTCAATCAACATGATGCGTCCTGGATTACTGATAACTGCAAATGGAAGTATATTTTCACTGTCATGAATGGACGTATTTCACAAAAGAATTTTCATTTTTTAATGACTCACAAAAAGAAAAGAAAAGTTTTGAACATAAACGTTTAACAAATACAAAACAGTTTTATATTGAATTTCTGTTTTTCAATGAAAGGAATTTGAAACATGAGCTTCTAGAAAAATTCTTGAGAAATACAATAATGTTGCATATTTATGACGAGTTGGAACCCACTCCAAGTTTATTTCATTTGAAGGGCGCTAAAGCATGTTAATATCAAGGTCTATGCATATAGTTTTGCGATTCTCATACAAATTTAAGTCTCGTTAAACTTCAATAATTTTTATAACCATTATTAAGGTAAGAAAATTTTATTAGTATATAGAAAAATAATTATATTTTTATAATATATTGCTTACGTTTTATGCTTTTGAGTAAGTCTGATGTATATAGCAGAACTTCTTAAAATATTATGTCAGTGTACAAATGCCATTAGGTATTTTAGTAGCTCTAGACTAATGTAACAGCCGAGGTACTTTTAAACTCTAAGTGTTTTAGAATTCTGTGCTATTTCTATTATTGTAGTATTTACAAAAGGTGAATGTTTTACTGTCGCGAAAGTAACCCAATGTAGATCTTTTGTTTTTGCGGCTAAGTAAATCATAACTAGCCAGCCAAGGGGAACAATTCAATGTTTCAAGTTGGAAATTAGACAATGATATAAACTCTTCAAATATGAAAAAATATATAAGGTATAAGTAAAATGTTAAGTATAAGTAGAAACAATTTAGGGGATCGTAATAATTATAAGCAACAATAATTTTATGGACTGTCTCTCGACACGTTTTTTGTTTGCAATGCGGGATCTTCTGTAATTTAAAAAGCATCAAATCTTTCCTGCGAATTATCACAGGCTTCTCAAGCACCTAAACT